ATAAATAAAAATAACGATTTGGCGATTCGTATACAGTTGCCAAAAGTGGTGTATATAGGTGTGTTTTTATATACGTAATATAACATATATATATATAAATAATAATATAGGTATATGTATATTTATGTACTGTGCGAAGCAGTAGATATATACGTTTTCGAGTGGTCAATTGTAATTTTCGTATATATATTTTTGGTGTGTGCATATACATAATATACAACGGAGGAGGTGTTCTTTGGAAAAGTGTACTGTGTATACTATTCGTCCCTCGAGAAAGTTTCTCGATCTCGTTTTTGGTTTGCTTATTCATGACTTCGGGCGAAATAAAATATCGTCGACGGTGGACACGGACTACGTCAAGCAGAAATGGCCGCGGCGATTTTAACAACTCCGATATAAAGTTGGTCATTTTTATGTCTTGCGTGTTTGTTTTGAATTTGTGCACTTTTTATTTTCGGCTCTTTTATCGTTGTTCGTTGACCTACCTACGAACGCATTTATTGTGCTATAGTGTGTGCACCTAAATATAATGAGAAAATACGATATAAACGATCAAAGGTTTATATTATTATCATATTAAAAATACATTTTATCGTGAAAATTAAAATATTATCTGTTCAGATATCTTACAACTCTGAATCCGTGCATTTTATTTACGTAATACATTTCTTATGACTTTGAGTAGATCATTTCACGGAAATCGTTCTCACGAGTCCTTTATTCAAATCCATTTATGTGATTTTTACCAGTGAATAAATACCAATAATATTATCATAAAAAAAAACAAACAAAAGGTCACGTGTACCTAAAGGTTGATATTATACAACATTGCAGAAGAATGGATTTTAATATAATAATATTATTATATTGTACTTAGCTATATAAACATTTATCAGTAAATCAATACAAAATACGTACCTACAGCATTTCAATTATTTTTATTCTGTTAAAAACTTAATATTAACAAAATAATTACCTTTTTTTGTTTTGTTTTTTATTGTGGTATCGAGGACTGGAGGAGGAACTATGGTGCCAGTACTTCTCCTCCAGAAACAAAATAATTACCTACTAGGTATAAGATTTATAAAAACTATTAAAAAGATTAAACGTCATGTTACTAACTATATGTTAGGGAATACTATTATAGAATTTTAAAGACATAGATTTAAAGACAAACTTACTGGTTTAAACTTAAAAATACTTTAGATTTGAATGTATATGATGAATGATGATCAACTTACCTGTGTAACCTTTAACATTTTAAGTACCTAACTCATTAGTTTAATGCCACAATATTATTTGTATTTTGTAAGAAGGAGTATTTATTAATTTGTATAGTACCTATAACCGTAATGCGCAAAGTTATTCTACTTTTCTTTTCCATTTAGCGACTGGGTTATATAATTTATTGTGTTTTAAACTACTTATGTCATACATGGAACCATTCATAACACACTGAGATTTTTTTGTTAATAAATTGTATCTTATAATCCTAAAAGGACCGTTTTAATTTGTGAAGTTCTCAATATAAAATTTAAATGAAGTACATATTATAAAAAAATTAACAGTAGTCAGTAGGTGATATAAAATTAGTCTGTGTAAAAAATAAGTATGACTGATCAAGACAAATTAAAATATAAAACTTTAAGTAGGTACTTAGTTATAATTTAAATTGTATTTTACAATAGTTAATATTATATATTTTTAATGATATAAAAATGTTTAACAGGTGATTGAATTCCTTAATGTCAAACACGTATTAACTTACTATTAATACAATATGTAGGTACAAGCACAACTTTATTTAATTGTATAACTATATATAGTACTATATAGTATAATATAATGTCATATCGATAAAAATGTTAAATGGGAAACACACGTTTAACACTGCTGTGTCAAATAAACATTGCAAGTGATTTTAAAATTAAATTTCTCTTGTACTTAAGTTATATTCTATTGTGTGATACATCTTCGCAAATTGGACATTTTTTTTTTTTATTATTACTATTACTAAACGTTAAAAGCATTTAGTTTGAAATGCTTGAATGGATAACAAACACTATAATATTACTGTTTATCATACAGCGACATGTACACAATATGAACGAAACTAAATTTCTATGAAACTCGTAGATGGATTTGTGCATCAAATGCATTACATGTTGTAGAACTGCACAATTGTACATGCACGGGCGTTGTGCATATGCATATACGTCAAATAATAATATTATATTATTTTGTATAGGCACTTTTGAATGAAAGTTTTATCTACGCAGTGCAAATTATATCCTGTCAACCGACCAAAGTGTGCATTTTATCGTGACTTAACCGGAACACGTTTAAACAATGGGTGGGGGAGGACTGATACACATTCGCGTGATACAAATTCATTTTTATATCACGTTATTTTATGTCGTGACGTTCAAATAAAGAAGCGAGCTGAGGAACACTTTGCCTCGTGTTTTATTAATGTTCCTACCTAGGCCGCATTTATTATATTATACTATATAGTCGTGTGCCGTCCGCACATGTCTGCTCGGCTTTTAAGAATAATTATTATCCAAGTGGTTGACGTTATGAAGACGTGTAACGCAAACTTTTTGACAATATCGTTATTGTTGTTACTACTGTAATGAATTATACGCTTATTTACTTTCAGACTTTTTACACGGTCGGGTAGAGTTTTATTTTAAAATCGAACATGGTGTAACGGGACGATATTATTACGTCTTGATGTGCGCACAGCATTATCATCATCATCAACTAAAACCATGTGTATAAAAAAAAAACTGACATATTATAAAAATAATTTACCCATAATTATCATTTTGGATGCATTGAAATTCGTTCAATTTTGTTTTGGGGTTTTATTTTTTACTCGACTAACGACCGTGTGTTAAATTACTTACGGAGTAAAAAATAACAAACGTAGAACATCATAATATTATATTATATAACCCATGCGTTTTATTATAATACGTAAGAGTGTACGACAATATTAGAGTCGAAATTATGTTTTATGATAATGGTGAATAAGATGTGTGTTATATTTTCATTTTGGCAGAAGAAACAAATGTGACGCCATAAAACAACTCAGATGGAAATGTCTATATTGAGAACTTGTTTCGCTTAGCACATAAATGTAGAACAGTGTGTGTAGTATAATTTGTATTTTTAACAAAACAGTGACAATTATTGTAATATTATATGAGCAGATATTTCTAATGTGATTATTTTTTCAAAAAGTTTTCGAGATTTCTTTGAAGTTGAAACTATGTTCATCTCTGCAGCTAGGTTTCATTCATCGAAAAGGTAGATAAGCTATTACTATCCCCACTCCATCAATAGTCAAAATAATCACAGAATTCACATGAGTAGCTACATGATGTATGACAATCGTACATGATATATTTTAACTTAAACCATTATTTCCAATGCATTTTAAAATAATTAACTTCTCATGTATAATTTCTATTCGTTTAAAACGTTTTTATTCTGAATGGTGCGATGAATTTAATCATGCACACTGCATATTATTGTTTTGTTTGTCGGTTAGTGTGGTAAAGCTCCAAAATAAATTTGTCATTTAAACGGCACGTAGGTACTTTAAAGAAGAAGTTTGTTGATTTTATTTGTAGTTACTCTAAATGTAAGAAAAAATTATCAAGAACGGTTATTAGTTTTAACTGAGTTCCACCCACGATTATCTATACAGTACGTATAGTACGTTGTGACAGTCCGGATCATTTAGAAATATTGGGAAATTTTTAAACATCATTCATCCAATCATCTCTATCAAACAATGAATACACCACTATACTGCATATTATAGGATAAATTAGTGTCCTACAAAAGATCTTTGTACGAGCGTGTGGGTGTGTGTGTGCGTGTGTGTGTGTTTGTACTGTGCAGGTATATTATATTTTTAATGTCGATGATAATATTACTTATTATTTATAAATCATCATAAAATACAATTATGATATAATATCACTGATGACTGATGCCGTTCGTTTTATTGAAATGTTGATAAAATATGTTATTTTTACGTCTTCAATGAAACTCGAAACGTTTCCATGTTATTTATTCCTTATAATTTACAGATCATAAATTAACAATTGAATCTTAGAAATCTTGATGAATACATTTTACGTTGTTCAATATTTTAATATTTTAATAACATAATGTACTCTTGTACATTTTCAAGTGATCATATTTACAGAGTTTCAGACTGTAAGACTGTAATCAAAATTGTATGAAAATATTAGTACATATTACATTAATCATTATAACATACATCTTGTCTTATTTTATTCCAAACAAATGATATGCTAATTTAGTAAGTAATTTATTCTGTTTATAAAGTCAAATCAACAACACTGGTATAAATATGGTATGGTTCACTTAGAAAGCCGGAGCACTTAATAAATATATACTATACATACATATTGTAATATTTCAACTCGAGTACATATTTTCAAATTATAACGCTTCGTTTTCTTCATATTACTATAATAATATATTACGAACAACCAATCGTATATTACAATGTTTAATATTATACATAGTTTTTTACATTTGAAAAACTGTACATTAAAAATAAACTTTAGAAATAGGTATACGATTAAATAAAATTATTAACAATTTAAAATCTATATCATTAATTATAATATCATATCTATCTTTGAATATTGATATGTGTATTACCTTTGATGGTATATATTATTTGTATGTGTTGAATGCTAGTTTTATACAAAACTTATTTAATATACATAATATATCCATTTGAAGTCATAATCTAAAATGAAAAGCAATTTTGAAAAAAAATGATTTCATATTAAGTATTAAATTCATAATTGTTTCTGCTTCTCGTTTTAATACAATTACATTAGACTTTACAAACATCGAGACGTTATAATATTATAACCCATATTGTTTGTAACAATTTATTTTAAACGGCTAAGTCGTATTTATAAAATTTGTAATTTAATTTTCAGGAGAAAAATACGAACCGGAAGAGTTTGTCACCGAACAATATAAAACGCGAATGAAACTCACAATTAAGTCTGTTACTGCCGAAGATTACGGCACGTACAAATGTTTGTCAAGAAATGCACTCGGAGACACGGATGGCACAATAAAAATATACCGTAAGTGTATGTTTTTAAACGCAATTATTATTTAATATTATTTTTTTACAAACCGTATTAAAATCAAATGGAACGTAACTGCAGTTTATATTTATGCTCGTTAAATTTTCTATACATTCGTCAACATAATATAGAAACAAATTGGTTATACAATTGGGTAAATGAAAAGAATACTATAAAGTGTTTATACAGTTAACCAAGGAAATATTGAGTACAGAAAATCACCAAACATTCATTCAGTGTATTTTACTGTTTAATGGCCATGTAAAATAAAAACACTTCTATGATTCATATAAAACAGAGTATTAATTGTACGTACTTACACGTGAGAGTACCTACTTATCTCTTACTTAAAGTAAGAAATATTGACATTTCGTTTTATCTTTAATAGTTACAATTTCTAATGTGTAGGAAAATCTACTTTTTGAGTTTTCAGAGGAATTCGATAAAAATAAATCTGGTTTAAAGGAATAAAAATATCAACTAACCACGCTTTTGACGCAAGTAATATGCTATGGAATGCCTTTTTAAAACAAAAAGTCAAAAAGCGTTTAAAACAGACATTTTAATGCGGCCATCCCAGATTTATTAAAAAAAAAACATATTTTTTTTGTTAAAAAATAGTTAATTATAATTTAATATAAAAGTTGTACATCCATTAATATTTTATTAATAAAAATTGTGGAAACATTACAATTCAAAACAGTTATTTATTTATGATATACCTAATATATTACAATAAACTCAATAAATAGATCAGAAATGTTTAATTATTACCAATACAAACATTAACAACAATAATAATTATTAATGTTATTGTTATACATTATTATTATCAGTATATTAGATTTTATTTTTACAGTTGAATTAGACATCGCGTGTGCACAATCGAATTCATTATGATATATCATTTGTTTTAATATTGTTATACCACGATCATTCAATACTTCCATAGGTTTTAATCGCGTTATCGTCGTTAATCGTTTATTTTAAATTTGCATTTTGTTTTGCTATTCATAACGACTATAATGATAATATTATAATGATAGGATTTTCGAAAAAAGTACGATAACGTTCAATATAAAACACAATTAGTTTTTTTTTTTTAATTTTAATGTTGAACAGATAGGTAATCAACTGTAAATTCAACACTTTAAACGTTGGTATTCGAGACCAAAATCAAATTTTAAAAAAGCCATCGTCTTTGATTAAGAATATTTTTTAATTTCATAGACGTCCTTGCGTATTGTACTCCGTTCCAGCCACATTATCTGAGATCTTAACTATTGCCTTAAAAAGACTAAAAGTACTTATACTTTTTAAGGGCCATATTTGAAATACTCAGATTTATATCTCATTTGCATGAACGAGTGTTCAGTGATGATACTAACTTTTTTTCAAATGGAATTAAGTACTCTTTTTTCATATTAATTCTTAATTGTAACTTTTATAAAAAATTTTAATATATCTAAATCAAAATTTGAATGAATAGTTTTTTGTTATTGAACTTTGTGTACAAAGGATAATTATAGGCCAATGTTAATGAGGTTGAAATATATGTGGGGGTTATGAAGAACTTCCAATTTTAGTAATTGATATTATTTCATCAACATTATATTATAATTTATAAACACGGTCCAAGTACTAAATTCAATATTACAATATATTATATTTTATATTTTTGTGTAACTGTTTTTAAGGACTATTATCCTAATTATATTATACATTTTAATAACAGAAACTACTCGTTTGAATTTTGATTATAGATATATCAAAATATTCTTAAAAATCATCTGCAATCTGCTTAACAATATTTACAGTAAAAAAAGTTGGCGTTTGTTTAAAATAAAAAAATTCTTATCGTCACAGGATACTCTTTAAATGGTATAGAATTAATGTAAATATTTTAAAATATGGTCCTCAAGACGTATATTTAAAAACCAGTTATTACTAAAATCGGAATTTGAATAAGTTAGGTATAGGACAATGGGAATGAGCACTGAGCATGCTTGGCGAATCACACTGTATAATTCATAGCGTATTATGAAATAGGATATTTTATTTCGAAATTAAAATATTTAATATTATTTTATTATTAAAACAATACATTTATAAGAATAATATATAATATTATTATATAAAAAAAAACCAAATTTATAATTAAAGGAAATAATTTATAATAATTCTAATGTTAAAATACTATAAACTGATCTTCAGAATAGTTTGAAAAAAAAGAGATAAAACCTTTGGGACTAATGCTATCTACGCAATTTAAATTCTTAGCGAATGTACGAGTACCTACTAACTTGGTGTTGATTGATTTTATTTAGAGCACATGGGATTCTACTCGACTCGTTTCGATTAACCCTTTTGCAGTAGTAATGTGGCACTTCGATGTGTAAACCAATGGCAATAAACAAGTTTACACGGTTAGACACTATAATATGTAATATATGCTATATGCATAACCCAGTAAAAGTGCGCGAGTGATGCACAAGCATCAGTAAATTGAATTTATTTCATAAAATAGTTTTTATTATCATCTCTATTTACAACAAAAACGGTATTACTATAAAATTGTACTATATTATTTATTTTCGTAATTTTAAATGAGCAGATATGCTTAACATTTTTTTTTTGTTTGATAAAATATAGAAGTGGCTAATAACGGCGGACACAGCACTACGCGACCCAAGCACAGATGTAAGTAACAACTTTTTATTTACTATACAACAAATACTATTATACTAATACGCTATACTACAATCCAAGTACAGCAGTTACTCGATATTGATGTGAAATACGTGCATTCGTGCTTTTATTCAAAGTGTATTTACTTATACAACAATAACGATTACATTTAAAATATTTTTTTTTGGACACAAGTCTCAACAAAAAATACGGTTTATATTATTATGTTTTTGAAAATCAAAACAATAAGACATAAAAGACCCATTAATGTATTATTCGTAAGTATTGAAAAAAAACACAAATCACGTGTATGAGATTTCAAATGTAACCTCTCTATATTATAATAAAACAGGATAATTCATCCAGCACGCTCACCCCACGTTTATCATTTAATAATCTATTTATTAAAATTATGTATTTTTTTGTAATTTGAATAAATAGGTACATGATTACCTATAGGAAAAAGTTGGTGGTGAGCATGGTTGGTAAATACTTCAATATACATATTAATATAATAATATATTATATATATTATACATAACCATGTCTAAAGAAGATTAATGGATATAAAGTGGATTATTATTTTATGGAAAACATATTGTATGTACAAAATTGTTATTGAAACAACGCATATTTTATTTGTTAAACCAATATAAATGGATTTAATAATTGGATAATGTTTTACAATGTTTCAAATATTACGAATATGTGGTGTATCAGCTCACAAATAAAAATATAATAATATAATAAACTTTATTGATAAGTACATTTATTATACATATTATTTATAATATAGATAATGTTCGTTAAAAATAAAAAGTAAACAAAAGATAAGCCCTTTGGACCATGGCTAAGACAATGGAGGGAAAATTCAAGTGACTTGAATTGTTTCGTTTCACGTTTTATTTTCACAATTTCATTCGTGTAGGAGCACTCTATGACGTACGAGCATAGTGTATTATGTAGTTACACTTGTTTTTATATAATTATTATTGTTGAAACATAGTTCAAAAAATATCACATAACGATGCTTCTGTCACATAAAACGACTACACGAGATGGGAGAACAATGGTAAGTAGGTACAAAAATATAATATCATACGGTATCCTCAACCCCCCCCCCCCCCCTCACCACCAATTTAACTTTTCCAATTTTTTGATTCATTTTTAATTAGTACCCAATTCCTGTGAATTTCTGACCAGGTTTTTACAATTCCTGCTCTAACGGTTTTACTAATTATTGGCACAAGAAAAGATTGGAAAAGTAAAATTGGTGAGAAGGGCAGGATATAACAATTTGATTATAAACCTATATGTTATAGGTATATTATAAAATATATCGTGTCCTAGAAAATTGGAAAATTTATCTTTTTAGCATAAAAACAGTCATAAAATACCTTAAACTCTTATTTGTATTAAAATATTTTTTTTATCGTACTTTCGTACTTTTTATATATTTTCCCTTGTCAATTATAATATTATTATATTATACTATAAGGTTAAATAAAATACTAGTACCTACTTGTAATTATAATTTTTCATACCTACCATAATTGTTTAACCAAATTGCCTTCATTCCCATGATTAATTTAATCGAATTTCTTTTTTATAACAACGTCTACACGCAGTACCTATTTACATTTTCAACTTAGAAATAAAAATAGGTATATACAATGATTTATCATATTATACCATATAAACACACGCATCGATCGGCAACGTGCACTCATTTTAATATTATATTTCACATGTATATTAGAAGAATATAAAATCGTTAATCGTTCGTTAAGAATCGAAAATAATATAATACAAATAATCAAATCAAATCAACTCTTGTCTTATTACATGTAATAATGTACTGTTTTAAATAAATACAGACGTCCAGTAATAGTATTCATAGTTATTATTAGAGGTAGGTAACTAATAATACTTTAATACTTTAACTAGTAACTAATAACAATAATTCACCTATAATACCTCTTGTGTTAAATGTCACTCTGAAAAACAGTACAGTGATATAATAGACATAAAAATAATTTATCCGCTCGTCTATTATTCAAATATACAATACTATGTAGGTATGGTGAAAAAATACAAATCATTTCAAACGAGTTGCCACGCTGCAAGGTCCACAATTTCCAAGCTGCCTTTGACACACATATTATAGGTACCTATTTTAAAATAATATACCTAATATTTATACGAGAACGAACGGTCTCAAATTTCATCCGTGAGAGATCGTACGATCATCAAGTACCCGTTATCGCGATCCGTCTCAAACACAAACGGAAAACGTGAATGATTTTAGATCGGGTTTTTTCGTTAATTTCTCCTTGATTTTACGACACGACGGATCTGGTCCTTCCGACCCGTAATCGTAACTAGGAAACATCGAAACCCCCCGCAGGATTTCCTCTATGGTTTTCACCCTCAACCCTGGCCACGATGATTGTCCTCGTAGTCGTCATCACCACGTGTTGTCGTTGTAGGTATATAAATATACATCATCTTGGATCCTATCGAATCACCGCAACGTGGTTGTAAATTATTTATACACGATCGACGAATATATATATAATATAAATATATAGATATCTACACCTACGATATACCTATACAGGATACAGAGAGGACTATAGGAGGGCGGCGGCTAAGGGGCAGATATTGATGGTCTCTATTGTTTTGGCCGCACACGTCCGAAATAAAGCGATTTAGTCTAGAATATGACTGGTGTACGTTTTTGGTTGAGCGGGTGGGTATGCGGTGGCGGGTGGGGAGCGGTGGCAGTTGAATAAAACATTTCGGCGGTCTTGATCGTTTCCAACGCGATCTAATGGGGTTTTCAAACGCGTTCCCTATATATAGGCACGTGGTGGTAGAGTATATAGATCAGTGTAGCGTTTGTGTATGTTTGTGTGTGTGTGTGTGTGTGTGTGTGTGTGTTAGAGAGAGACCTCCCCGTCGAAATTATCGAGGGACTCACCCGAGTTATACAGGTCTCGTTGTTGCTGAGGTGCGAGAAAAACGAGTTTTTAATTTTCACTCAAACCCTCGTGGGTTGCTGCATTTAGCGGATTAGCAAAATAAGACGTGTAAAATGTGTTTGCGTATCACAACTAAGTCCATTATTATCAATTTTTTTTTTTTTAAATTAAATTTTAATTTTAATAAACTCCGTGTTTGGCTATCGCTCCTGCAATTAATGGCCCTTCAACCAGTCAGTTGAGTTTTGTCGTTCAATTTTTAATTGGTGATAACACGCACAACAACGCGTATATTTTAGAATTTAGAATAATTTCGCTTCACCGAGTCGTATAGTAGAACAGCGATTCCCAAAGTGTGTTTGGCGGAACCTATAAGGGTTCCAGGGTTCCTCTAGATGTATGTGAATATTGAAAAAATTATTTTACATTATACTTGGAAAAAAAGTTCACCTAAATAATAATAACTAGACTATAACATTTCTATAAAATATTCGTTTTACATATACATCAGGGTTCCACGAAACACGAAACTTTTTCCTAAGGGTTCCGTTGTTGCAAAAGTTTGGGAACCGCTGTAGTAGATACACGTTACACCTAACCTACACTGTTGTACTTATACCAACGTTCTAAGAGCCGAATATATATTTTTCGTATTTACAAATTTGTAATAGTTTACACAACTATAATATATCAACTTTTAATAGATTAATGCCTTCATACTAAACGTAAACCGATTTTCTATTTTTAACTAACTCTTTTTCACAAAATTTGTTATTTTCAATTTAGTGACATTTTATTTTATTATTTTTTACTCATAAAAGATAAAATTAATAACTGTAATTAACTAAATTAAACACCAGCTACTAGATTACTTCTATTTATTAATTATTTAATTATCGTTGAAAAATGCACTCGTTTTGTACTTTATTTTTATGGACCTTGTTGGTCCTATTATGTAACGTTTTGTTTTTAATTAAAATAACATTTTTAGTTTTAGACAAACTTAATATAGGACATAGGTAAATTTATTTTATTTTACCCTTATTTTGTATACTTAAATGAATTGTGAAATATGTATAACTTAGACAGAATATATTATTATTATATATTTTATTGGTTAAGTTACCTAGCTTGTGTAAGTGTTTACCCAATACTGTATATAGATTATAGGTACATTAAACTATTGCTTCTTGAATATTATGCTAATCTGTGGTGTAAGCGAAATTGGTCATGACTCATGAGGCTTTACAATAATCTTACTCCGTGTATGCCATTCCATACATACCTAAAACGTATCCCAAATCTTAATATTTAAACAGTCTGGTTGAGCGAATGGTTAATTAAATTCTAAATGTTTAACCACTATCATATTATATTGAATAGTTTACCAAACGTAAAAAATAGACTGAAAAACGGCATTACCTTACTAAATTAATATAATATTTACATTAAAAAAGAAAATATACGATGATAATTAATAATTAATTGAGCGTTGACACATTTTCACTAATACAGTGTTTTAATCAGTAATGGTTCATATAATCATATTCTAGAAACTCAAGTTTAAAATAAAAATTATAATTTAAAAGCTGAGTGGGATATAAAAATATTTAATTAATAATAATCATAAATTATCGGCAGATACAATTTAAAATCTTCAATATCATACAATAATAATCTAATAAAGTTTTCAAAAACTTTGCATTCTAAAAAGTAACTTTCTAAAATGTTCCCATTATTTGTTTTAATATTACGTGTAAATAATATAATATAATGAATAATGATATATTATTGTTAATATGTTTATTATCTATTTATTTAATTTGTATGAAATATGAATCACACTTCTATGCGTTTTTACTTAATATTTTATTATAACATAATTGAAACATGATAATTTATTTTTCTAGCATTTGAATGATATAATATAAAGTTTAAAAAATGTATTTCAAACTTTTTTGTTTCTAACTTAATATTTGTTTCCATAAATATACGTTTATGTTTTTAATTAGGTGTATTTATGAAGTT